AATTACATTTTAAAGGAAGGTTTAAAGGAAGGTTGTTTTCATGCTTATTTTGTAGGGCTATCTGTTAGGAACACAACGCGACTGAAATGGGGTGAAACGGAACTAAAATGGAGCCAAACAGAGCGAAACGGTGGAGGTGTGCAGTCTGCTCGCTGACGGCGCCCAAAACGGCGCTGACAGCGAGATTTACCCGAGAAGACCGAAAAAATACAGAAAATCTAGCCGAAAGCGCCCTCGAGCCCGCCGACGGCGCCCGGGACGACTATGGACTGACTTTTGGCGGGTATGGTCCGAAATTCAACATATTTGGACGCTTTTTGAAAGAACTCTTGTGGCAACTCTTCAAACTTCGTCCCTACACTTTAAAAGAACAAATTTAGGTTAGAAAAAGGGATTGGTGTGAGAGGAATGTTAGGAAAAGTGTGGAGAAACTTTGATGAAATGAAGTTTTCCGTTGTGTTTTCTTCGTGCTTTGTGATGCGTTTCTCTTACTCTCTCTTCTTGTTTGAAAATAATGGTATGAGAAGATTATGTCATTTTTTTCATTTTACTTTTCTATTTTAATGAGTAGAATTCATGTTTAGGATTTTGTGATGCATGTTAGGAGTGGATTTAATTATAAATGTGATGGTTTTTACTTGTACTTTATTTACATTACAATAAAGGTTGTTGTAGTGTTAAAATTTGTTGTAATTTCATTGATCCGAAAGGGCGGTTTAATTCTCAATAAAGTGGAACCACATTCAAATTCCATGGATGGTTAAGTTCATGTGAGTTGAGTGCAAATAAATAGGAAAATATACTTTGATGGGTGTAGAATTGGAGATTTTAGGGTGACAGACAAAAATCCCCAATTCGGTCCTATTGTTTGAGTATTGAAGTGGAGATGTTAGCACTCAGGCGAGGGGAACGTGGGAGCTTTGAAGTGAGATATGGTATCCTCCCAGCCTAGCCACCGATTTAGTAAACAAGCATAGGATTAGGCAATGTTCCTTATGCCTTCTCATTCATTTACGTTATCCAATTCATTACATAAGAATATTAGTTTTTAATATCTCAAAATTCTCTAAACCAATTCATCCAAAAAGGGTTATCTTTAGAATTAATATTTGCATTTAGTTATGGTTACTATCTTTACATTTAACATTTGCATTTAGGAGTAGTTGCTAGATAAAACATCATTTTAATCTCCTTAATTTGCAAATTATTAAATCCTAAAGGGTAATAAGATTTATAAGTTGAATTTCCTTGATTGTTGGAGTTTCCCAATGGGTTCACAGTGATGTTTCCCCATTGCGGATTTGCAGCATTAGAATTATTATTACTCGAACTAAAATTTGGATGATTCTTCCAATCAGGATTATAATAATTGGCATAAGGATTATTATAACAATTATTTATTATATTTAAGGTCTCATAAGAAGATTTTGATTCTATCATTTGTCCCAATGATTTTTTCTCAAACACAAGTGATGTCTGAGAATAATTCGTTCCATATAAATTTATTTTCTTCGATATAACAGCTATTTATGCAGCTAACATAGATATTGCATCAGAATCATGAATACTGCTACTCTTTTTGGATTTACCCTTTCAGAGGGCCATTGAAAATTATTAGTAACCATCTCTTCAATTAAATAATATCTTTTATCAAATGATTTTGAGATTAATGATCCACCAGCAATAACATCAATTATCGATCTAAGAGATACAACCAATCCATTATAGAAAGTTTGAATTATTAACCAATCTGACAATGCATGGTATGGACACTTCCTAAGTAGATCTTTAATCTTTCCCATGCTTCATAAATTGATCCCCTTTCAAACTAACAAAAAGATGTAATATCATTTCTAAGCTTAGCAATTTTTGAAGGTGGAAAATATTTAGATAAAAATTTTCATGATAAATCTCCCCAAATTTTGATAGATCTGGTGCTAACGAGTTTAACTACATCTTAGTTTTATTCCTTAGTGAAAAAGGAAAAAGTTTAAGTCTGACGAGATCATTCAACACACCATCATATTTAAAAGTGACACACAATTTTAGAAAACCAACTGACCCTAAGGCCCACGAATCCTATTATTACCTGCCTTTACCCACTACTAAGCGCATGGCAGCGCTTCGTAGGCTTGAACGCGGCTGCCATTCTTCTCCGTTGTTCTCGAGGGCGCAAGTCGAAGAAATATCTGGTTCAATCCTCCATCGCTCCTCTTTTAGCAGCACAGTTTTGTCTTCTCTGGTAGGAGGAAATGGAGAAGAAAAGAGAAGGGAGAAAGGAAAATGGCTCACCTTGCCCCCGTTCGTGTCTCAGAAGGGTCCATCTTCTGTCGGCAAGGAGCTCGCGGGAGGGAAGCTGGCAGGACAAGAAGAGATAACCACCGCTTTGAAGTGGGTTCACCAGTGCTTCCCGCATCTGCCGATGTCTCTTGTACAGAAACTCTTTCGCTTGAGGCAGGTAATTAATGTGCATACTTGCACTTGCTGTTGCTTACCCGCTGTTTGCTGAATTGCTTAGCTAACCTCCTTGCACTGTACTTGCGTAAATGTGTGGCAGCATTCTTTTGTAAGACATCTGCGTGATTTGTTATTTAGGTTTACTTGTTCTCTGGGACGCGATTGGTTTAGAAAGTTGACCTAGACAAGTAAGCATGAATTGAATTCTAAGGATTTGATTGCAGACATTTACTTACTAGCGTTTTGAATCAATTATTTGTTTTTATTTATTTATTTTTGTCTTATGCATGTTTTGATATGGAATAAAAACTCATTTGATGTCTTTGAACGTACACTATTTTGTTTGTATTGAATATCATATAATTCGTCTTATTTTGTGGTTTGGAAGAGGGCTGGAGCCGGTGGTGTTGGTGGACCAAAAAATACGTATTGGTGGTAAGTCAGCAATAGGAGTGAGGTAGGCTGTCGGTGGGTGCATGTAGGCCAACGGTGAGCATAGGTTTGGCCATCCACGGGTGTGGAATGATCATGAATTGTTTAGGTTCATCATCCACATTCTAAGCCTCAGAAAAATCATGCCATTTCTGTGAATCCTCTTCTCCCAGTCATCTTCATTTGATAATTCTCCTTAACAAGCTGGTAGACTCACTCCATCTATGTTTCTTTGGGGAAAATATCATCTAAGGACTAGTAGTCAAATGTGACCTCACATGATCTGGAGTCACGTCAATGACTCAATGGGGCTTGTCCTTCTTCTGGCCAATGGAGCCTCACTCATCTACTATTTGGGGCGATTATTTTTGCATCCATACCCTTTGACTATGAATCGAACCTATTCAAGCAAATGACTGAAGTGCACTACAATCACTAGAGCTCCCTAGCTTTGATAACATAAATACTAGTTCTTTAACCTCAAATGCTGTTTTGGCCATCATGTTGCATGTGAATTTGTAGTGGCTAACTGACTTTGTATGTTTTATGAAGAATAGTTGAGAACACTGCATTTGCTTATTTCTTAATCATAAAATTACAACTCATCTCTTTATATAATAAGGAACGATTAGGGCAAGCTTACTTACAACAAAATAACTTAACAAGGAAAAAAATATAACATAATAAGAAGAGAATAAAACTAAAATGCGATACTCAAAATTCCACACTCCCACTCAAGCTGGATCATATATGTTGTAAAGACTCAATATGATATTCAAATCAGTGAAGCTATCTGAAGGTAGAGATTTAGTAAATTATTAGTGACTTGAAGATGAGTTCCAAAGTAAATTAACGGTCTCTTTGGGACAGCAGCAACTTGTTAATAAGCTGTTGCGCAGCAGGTGTCACAGGAAGCTGCTACGGATAAGCTGATTGATTTTTTATCTTTTGCAATTTGAAAACAACTATTCTACAATTGTTTCTGAACAAATTACCATTCTGCCACTGTATAGTAATGTTGTTTGCAATAAAACTAATATAACAATATATTTGATATTTATGAAATAAAAAATTCACTTCAAAACAGTATAAAAAATAAGATATACACATCACTTAAACAATTAGTATTATGATTATTAAAATAAAGAAACAAACTATTAAAATAACATTTAATAATATGATAATATTATTTTTAAAATGCACATGACATATGTCACGAGCTAGACCGTCTTTCAGGGATACTCTGCATTCCTGATCACTCTTAGCGATGGAATCTTCTAGCCTATCTGTCCCCTGGAAGAAGTCACAGATCTCCGTGATTCTTCGTGGATATCTTTAGAACTATCTCCTGTAGCTATGTGACTGACGTGACGTCAACAAGGAACTTTGAAGTCCGCAGTGACACAGTTATTCTTGGGAGGTCCTTGAAATCTTAGAGCTCATCTTTCCTGAATGCTTTAAAAGACAATCCATTAGTTATAACACAAGTATAAATTGATAAAAGAAGTAATTAATTACAGTTTGTGGAGGCGTGAGGTCTCAGAGGACTCAGTATACCAACTAACGAATTGTCACTACAAGAAGACAACAAACCTTATAAAAAACGTTTTTGGTTGCCTTTAACCCACGTAATACCAAACTCGTGTGTGTCACATATGCATATTACTAAAAATGTCATCTAAAGGAACCTAAAAAATTGTAGCATCGAAAAGAAGAGAGAAACTTGGTTACCTTTATTAGAATTTTACATGTGACACTAATCAACAAATACTAACAAACAAGTCAGAAGAACCATAAGGTCAAACTTCTCATCAGAAACCTCACAAACCCTCAAAAAGAAAAAAGAAAAAATAACAATTACAAGCATCATAGAAAACCCAAATAATTAATATCAAATATACAAGTAATGAAAATAGACATGAACTGTATAAAATAAATAAGAATCGACCCATTCAACATCCAACAATGACGTCTGTAATCCGCTCTCTCAATTCAACCATTTCTCCAACACCTCTGCCATCCTGGGTGCAACCTTCTTGTGAATCTACCTCTGGCTATGGTATATATTGTCTTATGTGATTTTCAAATGATTTAGGCGGGACGTGTAAATGATCATCGTCAAACATGAAGTCTTAACCGCTGCGTTATTAGCACAAAAAAAGCAAAACATTAATATTTGTAGCAACCACAACCAACATATGAGCCAACACAACCAGACAACAACAACCCACAATAACAACCACCACAACACCCCATCCACAACCTCCGCACACAACATAACAACACCCACCATAACACAACCACACCCACGTCTCCATAACAGAACCACAACCTCCACACACAACTATAGGCATCACGACCACCTCCAACGACAATCAATTGTCATAACTATTTATAAATATCTTTTTCTCATTCCTTGGAGCCTATCACATTAAAACTTTGCTTCATTTACAAACATACCACACTGCCCAACCCCTTTTCAAGTATAATTTGTATGTAAGGAAATAAATTAACCATTCCATGATAGATATATAAATACATTCTCTTACCGATTCTATAAATAGTAGTGCTTGTAAAAGTGTTATATCGCATATCTTTAATGATTTCAGCCACCGCATATCTTTAATAACTTCAACCACAACCCAAAACACAACCACCACAACCCAAAACACAACCACCACAATCCACAACCAGCACACCACAACCATTCAACGACATCTCCACACACATCCCACAGCCACGACACCACGAGACACAACACTACAACCACCTAAACCACAACACAACCAACATAACCCATGACACAACCACCACAACCCACAACCACCACCCCACAACCATCCAACCGCACCTCCACACACATCCTACAACCACCACACCACAAGGCATAGAACCACCACCCAATCGACAACACGACCACAACCTAAAACATAACCATCACAACTCACAACACAACCACTAAACCCACAATCACCACACCACAACCACCCAACCACAAATCCACTCACAACCCACAACCACCATCCATAAGAAATCACCACAATCACACAACCCGCAACCATCACACCACAACCATCCAACCACACCACACACATCCCACATCCACCACACTACAAGACACAACACCACAACCACCACAACCCACAACAGAGCCACCCCAACCCACAACACAACCACCACAACTCACAGCCACCACACCAAAATCACCCAACCACCCAACCACCCAACCACACATCGAAACACAAGCCACAACCATCACACCACAATCCACAACACCCCAACCACACGATCCATAGCCACCACACCACAACTACTCAACCACACATCGACATATAACCTACAGCCACCACACCACAAGACACAACACCACAACCACCTAACGTACAACCATCCAACCACATCTCCACATATATCTCACAAGACATCACCACAATCATCCAATCTACAGTACATCCACCACAACCCACAACACCACAACCCGCAGCACAACCACCATAACCCACAACCACAACCACCCAACCCACAACACAAGTAGTCCTCACCACAGCACAACCACATCACAATCACATCACATGTGCTCCTCAGCACAGCACAACTACAACCACCACAACATCACCCAATTCACAGTAAAAGTAATCACCCCATTGACAATAAAGAAAATCTAACACCAATGCAAAATCACATGAATTGCAAAAATCAAAATCACATAAATTATAAAATCCGACAATAGTGAACAACCAAATGAAAATCAACGACCGAATAGAGCTCACACAACCATCACAAAAACATAATGCTAGAGAATAGTGATAGAGAATGCCGTGGGCTGACGGAGAGCAGAGGAGCCAAGCAGAGATGAATAACAAAGGTTATAGGGATAGCAAAAAAGCCAAGCGGAGACGAAGTACAAACCATGGATGGGACAGGAGGAGGCAAGCGGGGATCTTACCTCTAGGGTGATGAGAGAGAAGTGATGAGAGAGAAGCTCCTTACCTCTAGGGTGATGAGAGAGAAGCTCGTTCTCGAGGGGAGCGAGAGAGTAAGGTAGTAAAAGCCAGGTGATAAATTAATACAAAATGCGGGCCCACGTTTTGTCCGATTTTCTTAAAAATGCACCCGCGCCCGCGCTCGTGTATTCGAAAAGGGAAAAAATATGCTTTTTGGGGCCACGCCAAGCGAAGAACGCGGCGTCAAACACACTCTAAGTGACTAATGCCTCAATTGACCTATTCAGAGATAAAATATCTATTAGTCTTAATGTGCTTGGTTCTGTCTTGTTGCACAAGATTCCTTATAATACTAATGTCTGCTTGACTGTTATAGAATATCTTAATCAGATTGACTATGGAGTACCCCAACTCATTTAGTAACATTTGGATTTTATATTTCTTGTAAATTCCCGAAGCAAGTGCTCGATACTCAAATTCAATACTATTTTTAGAGATCACTGCTTACTTCTTGCTTCTCTAAGTGACATGATTTCCCCCTAACATAGGAATAATACCCAGGCGTGGATCTTTTGTTCTTGAGTTCTACTAAACTAACATCAATGTACACCTCTATCTTTATGTT